ATATATATAACATATATTTTTGTAAAATATATGTTGGCTGAAAAGTGTACAATAAAGAGTTTATTTTAAATTGTGTTGAAAAGGATTGTGAAGTGATTTAAATAGTTTTTCATTTAAACACATCATCACAGAATAAAATCGAAGTTGTTTGTAGGGTTCATTCATCCTTAAACGCTGCCTAGTGTAACACCAGCGTCGGCTTTTTCTAACGAACAAAATATTAACGCCGTAACAGGCCAGCTCAATAAACGCTGCTAAACTGCTGCCGCCACCGTTTCTGCTCCTTGTTTTTCCTCCTTCGCCATTTCATTCCCAAGTAGCTTTGGTTGCTTCATTACAGATTTTATCCAGATACAAAATGCCACACGCTGTGATACATGTTGTTCCGAGCGGACTCCAGCACACACCAGATAGCCAGACCGTTTGGCAACTCCTCCGTTTCTCTTTCAGACTCATTTTCTTTCACCGACTTTTCAAAACAAGACCACACAAATGCTTGGTTCAAATCTTCCAAAAGGGGCAGAAGTGTCAGCACATGTTGCGAAATGGGAGCGTTTGTAAAAGCAAAAATATGCCAAAAAATAGGATTAAAATATATCTTTCTGTTCTTTCACATTTGGAACCAAAGTCCAAAGAAAACAAAGATGCTAGCTGCTAGCTTACATTCTACATCCAGCTAGATTCAGAGATGTTGCTTTAAAGCCAGACAAAAACAAAAACCAATCTCTTTCCTGTCAGTAAATGACTCAATATCCTTTTCTCATCATTGTAGCACATGTAAGAAAAAAAAAATCACACTTTTCTTGGTAGAAACTCTAAGGGCAACAAGCGCAGATTTACCACGAGAGTAGCAAACCGATGGCACTACGAATACGTGACTTGCAGAGACAAAGACACGATATGACGGTAACATCTGAGAGCCTTTTTTTCTCGTCTCCGTCTGACTGCAAACATAGAAGTAAAAAATATTTTGAATTTAGGAGTCAAATAAACCTACTACGCCTGCTTGGCTCTGGATTTGAATTGCTATGGTATGCTGAAGGTTGGCGGCGTGTAGCTTAGCTTTCCTCACTTTAATGCGTCGTTAGGAATACATTAAAGTAAGAAAATGTCCAATTGAAACGGTAAAAATGTTTGTGTCACTAGTTGGTTACAGGTTTAAAAAGTTTCAAAAACATTGTTTGGTTGTTTAAAAGAAAATATCTGAGCAGATTCCTTTGAAAGTATGAGATTTTATCACAGACTCATAATCCAAATCACATCAACAATTAAGGAATAAGTGTATATAAAATAAGTATTGGCGCCTTTTCTTTATCTTTTAAACTTTACCATTAAATGTTTCAGTTCTACTCAGAAGTTGATGCCTCAAAGGCTTCCAAAAAAGATTTAGAAAATCCTCTTGGAGTTTATTTCCAAACACTTTGTGATCATATTGTCTCATAAAGAATTTATGACAAAGCAATAAGAAATGTAAGAAGCTGGTGTAGAGGCCTTCGCTTTACTTTTTAAATATTGAGAGACTTCTGCTGGACTGCAATAAAAAGATGAATATCTGGATCCTGCAGCTCTCTTCATATGCAATATTGTTTGTCTACAGGGTAACTCATACGCTGCCGAAAATGAAACCTGACCTTTTTTTTCTTCTTTTCTTCTATTAGTAAGGCTTTACTGTTTTGGTTTCTTCATAGTGATGTCACAAGCTTCTTTAATGGTGGATACATTTAACCTGCATCTCTGTAATCGTATCGAGTTGCGTTACGGCTTTCATCGTTACTTAAATAAGTCAAACACTTGTTCAGTTCAAACCCACAGGGGCCTCGCAGTGATGATCCTTCACACCGACCCGAGCTTCCCCCACCTGCAACTCTTTACCATCGGCACGGAGGGGGCAGTCACAACACCGGGGACCTCTACACTATCCCTTTTTACCATGCGCTTTAGTGCTTTATTGCTTCCTTCGAAAGAAAAGAAGCACAACAAACTGTAAAACCCTCCCCTCTTCTCCCTCCTTTCAGCCTCCTCACCACAGCCTTCACTGCCTCCCTCCTCTTCCTCCTCTTCCTGCTGGGAAGAACAGGCCTGTGGTTGGTAGGAGCCCCCCCAAGCCCCCCACACGACCGCCCTCTCTCTTTTTGAAGGCTGCTTCTGCTGTGAATAATTGGCTGCGGCCATCGTTATCCTCCCAATTAACACTCGTTTGTCTTCATTGAATTCAATTAGGGCTATATTCTTGGGTGACCAGCAAGGGAGTCATGCCAGTGGGAGGCAGGGTCACTTCCCTTCACCACGTTGGAGCGCTACAGCTCAGCTCTTGTTCAGGACAAATCTCCATGCATATGCAAGATGGCTCCTTTCTATGTCGGCAAGAACAGAGCAGCGAGAAGCTAAGTAACCTGCAGAGCTCTGAATGTAGAGTGAGGACTTCATTACAAAAAAAGAACGTTAACAAGCAAGGTGAGTAAGATGCGACTCGTGGAGACTTTCATTTAATGTAATCAGTTTAAGTCTGATGAATACGGCTAATGCCTGTTTCTATAGCGACATCTGAACTCATTGCACCAAGTTGCCCAATCTTAATTACAGGTCAAACGTTGTACATTTATGATTTGTGTTCTTCAAACTTTTAAGAGTGGCTTGCATCACAATGTTATAGTCTTTTGTTGGAATTAAACTGTGGTTAAAGCAGAAAGCAAATGGCCAGACTATTACAGAGACAACATGATCACAACAATCTGGAGTGGATGCAGACGTCTTCACGAAATCCAGCAAACTTTAGCGGGTGGTTGCAGAGGATTGCATTTGCATGATAGTTTAGTGTTTTAGCTAACAGTAGAGTTAACTGAGAGATTTATGCTTTCGTAATATTTCGAAGGATATCTCGGACATAAAGTGTGAGGCTTCTGTGGTACAACTTAGGACCCTTCAGGGAACGTCAGCTTGCCAAATAGCATTCTGGGGATTTTATTGAAAAGAACAAAATATTGGTATTGATTGTTGGCCTTTGTTTACAGGAACAACCAGTTGGTGGCTACATCTCTGGTAGAGAAACCTTTGGTCCTAAATCAGGTAAGTCTGTCGATTCAGAATATGTATTGTGGTCCCCAAACATCTCTGCATGTCGAGATTGCCACCATGACAGATGGGGGTATTTCATCATTGCCTAGGCAAAACAGAAGCTTGTCAGAAGTTGTTGACCTACTTTTCTATTACCTGCCACTTACCACCATATGTCCATCTGCCCTGTCTGTAGTAATGACCACTCAGTGTCATTCATGCCAGAGTTTGCTCAAGTTCCTGTTGCCAGAAGCTAAGACTGTCTACTTGTTTCTAAGGAAGCAATGCTGCTAGAGTGAAGGCAGAAATGTTGATTGTCAAAATACAACATTGCCATACCCATCCATCTGGACAGGACAAGATAGATACCCAACATATCACTCTTGTCAAGACTTCTTAACAAATTCTACACTACTAAAGGTCAGCCCTCACAGGAATGTGTTTTTATTTTGAAAATACTTGGTTACAACTTCACACAATAAGCAAATGTATACATTAATCTAACAAGGTTACCAGGTGTAGCAGTTTTACTGATGTTGTATTTGGGTGGAGCAAGACGTCGCCCTTAAAGCCATGCAGAAGCTGTGGCTAACAGCAAATCGACTTATAAGCTAACTGCATTTTGAGCGCCAGGCAAAAAATGAATCAAAATGTTAATTTTAAGAAAAATCATGAAGATTAATTTATTCTCCAACTAGATTCAGTTGGCTAAAGTTAGCAAAACCTTAACTAACTTTCAGCTAACTGAACGTTAGCCACATTTCAGCTACTTAAAGCCAATTGACTTGAGTAACTGAAGTTAGCTAATTTAGCTAATTCTGAGTTCAGAATTGTCGTGTTTCTGCCTCTTTCTGCTGTTGTGTAAGGCTCTCTCCAGAATGCAGATAAAGTCAAAACCAAACACAACACATCTTAAAGCACACAGTAACACCCATCACACTTGCAGCTCTTCAGCCTTACCTCTTTCTCCCCACAGGGAGAAGAAGGGATGTTTCTGCGAGGAGGAAGAGGAGCAGAATGACCGAAGCTCTTACTCCTCTGTGAGTCTGACAGCAGGGAATGATGGGGAAACCCGATAAGATCACTGAGCTTTAACAACACTGACGCTTCAACTGAGAAGCCTGGTCAAATGAACCATGAGATGAGACCAGTTTATGAGATTTTACTTCCTATCTTGGAGTAAATCTACACTCCAGACTGGAACCTGTAATGAAATCATGAAGTCAGTTGTGTCTGTAAGGTCTGACATGCATCAGATCAGAGACTTTGTTTATTTCAGTCAAGACTTGACTTGGACTTGTTGAAGATGACTCGTGTGCATCTTTGCTTCATTAGACAGAGTCGAACATGGAGCAAAGCAGCAAAACAAACAGAACAACAGCTGATGACGATAATACACCAATGCTCCCTTTTACACTTTGACCTGAGGATGTTTTTGTTTATTGTTCTTCCAACCGTGAAATAAAAATGCAACACACTCTGCTTCTAATTCTCTGTAAATAAGGTGCAGAAAGTAACACTTCTCCTTTTTTTGTTGTTTTTAGCACCTTAGAGCACTGCTTGCGTGTGTGTGTGTGTTTATGTTTGTGCGTGTTGTGAAAATGTGTGTCAGTGTGGTAAATGAATCTGCCCTGGTGGCTTTCTCTGCTCTGCCTTCTCTCCAGCTTCTTCTTGTGATTATCTCAGTTTTCTCTCTGTATTTTAACCGTCTAATTTTACCCCTCTGACTGATCCGCTGCCAAGTCAGACTTCCCAAGTAATTTGAGAAAATCAGTATTTTTAGCTTGTTTTTTTGTGGAGCTGTTAATCCTTGTGGAAGAAGTGCATTTCTGTTTTTTTTTTTTTTTCGGAAACATCGCCATCACACAGAAGTTTGAGTTTGACATCGTAAATGAGAGTAGGAAGAATAAACGTTTTCAGCTGCTGTTGAGGACCTTCATGCCGAGGCGGCAGCGCAGCCAGCGAGTTCCCTTAATGTGATGCTAAATCAAATCATCATGCTCTGTAAATTCTGGGATTATCTTCTGGTCCCTCTAAGAGCTGGGAGCGCGATCAAGTCGCCTCGTGGCGCGCGGATCTGCGCCTGCACACTGAAGCCGGTGAACGTTTCTGTCATCAGGAGTCCCAGTTTGGCGTTGGGAGCGTGTGAGGTCCGCCAGGCCCCCCGGACAAGCCACCGCATCTCCTGAAATCACCTTCAATGTGGATTGACTTTTTTGCTCCGCTGGCGACAGGGCAATCCCACTCTTCATTTAATGGCTCGTAATTACATCAGAAGAGTTTAACAGTCGCACTAAATTCAAGCTGAAGTGTTTAGGCCTCTCGTCTCCAGGATGCAGGAGATACGGGGGCCCCCTCGGTGCTGAAGTGGAAGTTTCTTCACAGGGTTCCCTCAGAAGGACGGTCCATCAGTGTCTTTGCAAGCACAAACGGTGGAAAGAGGATCTGGAAAGCGGCGTTATTCACAGAGCATTTGGTCTCCAGAAGACGTTGAAATACCGACTCCCGACGTATTGCCCTCCAAACACGGCTTCGCTTTGGAACAACTTTCTTAAACGGCATTAAAATTTCACGACTTGCATCCAAAGAAATGAAATAACACACTCAGTGGGATATAAGTGCCCACAGTCAAAAGAAGACATGACGGGTTTTAAGGGACTGGAAAGTTTCTTTTTTTATGAAAAGGAATATATTTCATTCTGACAGACAAGCCTCCGCCATGTGCTTTTCTATCCTATAACCCCCGAGTTATTTTATTTCTCAGATTTGCTGTAACAAAGCCAGAAAATTTTTATGAAAAAAAAAAAAAAGATCTGTTCTTACATTATTATTCAGCCGAGGAGCAGATGTGATGTGAGGGTGAAAAATGAGCAGAGAAAACAAAGTGCTGGTGTCGACCAGAAACATCACTGATGACTTCACATGCAGTTCCTTACAAACGTCTTTGTACCACTTTTACATTTTGTCATTTTACAACCTCAAACCTAATTATATTTTATAGTCCATTAAGAAGTAATGTTTATTTTTCCATTTTCAAAAAAATCATGGTCATGCTATAAATGGCACTATGTGTCTGGAAAACGCACAATACTGCCCTTTCTTTTTTCAAAAGAAATCTGAAAAGTGTGGGTTGTATTTCTGTTCAGATTTTTGGGGATACTTTGCCCTGGTATTATGGTATGTCTCCACTCCTTTTACAGAGTTTATTTTTCGCCATTCTTTGTTAAAACAAAAATAGCACACAATTTTTGAGCTTTTGCAATTTTGAAACCTCCAAATTCTTAATTTAGGTCTGTACCTTGACTAGGCCATTCTTACACATGACGACGCTTTGACCTAAAAGCCTGTCGGCTTCGGTGGACAGCCAGGTCTCGTTTGCGGTTCAGTCACTGCTCTTTTCAAATTCAGACAACGGATTGAACGGCGAGATGATCAAAGCTTGAGATATTGTCTTAAAACAACATAGGGTATCAGTGTGAAGGAGGCTGAACACTTTCTAACACGTACGTTGTGTTTTTGCGAGGCGTAATGTCTAAAAGTATGAGCTCACCCCATAGCTGGTGGACATGCACCACAGTCAAAACACGAGGAAACAGATCTGAAAACAAAACAAGCTTGCATTCAGACCTTTCAGGGGATGTTCACTGGATCAAACACCATCACCTCTCTAAAGGTCACAGGGTTTTTGAAAAAAAAAAAAAAAAAAGCCCATCTGGAGGAACCTATGACACAGGGGTGCAGAATATCAGGTAACACTCGGGTTGTATTTTTTTTCCCCCCCCTACGTGTCAACTCTGGAACCGTTAAGCTCTTGTATGTGTGTTCTGTCTCTGACAGGGTTTGATTCTTAAAAGTTACCCTCCCTCTTCCCCAACTCTGTTGCTTTTGATTTTTCTTTTTGACAAACAATTCAGACTTGGGCGAGATTGATGTAAAATATGGTTTATACGGCAAAGACTTGATTTTCAACAGCTACTTTGGGTTTTGGAGACGGCCTTCCCTTCTAAACAACAAAACTGTTTAAAACGACAGCAGCTCTATCTTTGCTGGCCGTAAATGTTTCTCTTACCACCACTGTGACAAATGGATTTTGGTAGCTTGTGACAGCTCAACAGGACACTTTGATTGTATGGAATTAAATGCAAGCAGCTGCAAGTCTAATCGCGGAGCGTGCCATTTGGCTTTAATTACCGAAATGTCATGAAAGAACTGCAGCCAGCGCCACAGAGCTGAAAGAAGGGACAAATGTTTCAGAGGTTGTCCCAGAGAGGTTGTGGGAGTAGAGTGAAAGACAAGTCAGTGTAGGAAATCTTTATTATCCAGATCGGGGATGTTTGAGGTAAATGGCTTCATTGTTTTCAGGCCAGTCTACCTTACCGTTGGTCCTGTGATGAAACCATTTCACGGACAGATGGCTTACAGTTTTAGGAGTTCTCTCTTGGGAGAAGTTTGTCTTCCTGTGGGCTCCCGAGTCCAGAAACAAAGCTTTGCTGCGACAAGTTGGGTCAAGACAGCATCTATATGTTCGAATTATATCCAAGGTTTAAATGGCTAACAAAAAAAAGCTACAACTTCCCATTATACCATCCAATATCATCTTTATTTGTTCTGTTGTATTCTAAAGTCCTACTATAGTTTACTGTAGCTCAGAGAATATAATTTTTAGGGTTAAAAGAAAAACCTTATTTCTCTAATAATTCCTCTGTTTTCAACTCGATCCACCACACTATGCTGTAGTTGGTCGAAATCTTTCATTTCCTCTGTCATGTAACATTTTGATTGAGGCTACAAAAAAAAAACAAAAAACGGCAACATAAAACAAAATTTAGTGTGTGAATAAAACAAGCGTGGTTGCGGAATCGCCCTTCAAAAGATGCAGCGGATTAGGCGCGGAGCGCAGCCCCACCCTGCAGGCGCTCCGGTCCCATTGCACTTGATTGATTAGTGTGTAATTAGGCCGGTCGCTGATCACGGGGTTGACAAAAATACGGGTCGCGTCCTGCGCGCTTTCGGACCAGAGAACCGCCGCAGCCCGTAATGACACGACGGCCCGTCCGCACAGTAGCTTTCCCTTCTCACAGGCGACGTGCCCCGCCTCCCCCCCCCTCTCCTCCCTCCCCCCCCCCCCCCCCCCCC